GCTCCTGCTACTGCTACTGCTACTGCTACTACTGCCACTGCTACTCCCACTGCGACTGCCACTGCCACTGCTACTGCTACCACCGCAACAAACACATATCGGAGCTGGAGCAAGCCCTGTTCTGGGACCCGAACGAGATGGCCCCAAGCGGAGGTCATACCAATGCGACAGGTCGAAGGCTGAGATGTTCAGCTTATTGATGACGGGCGCATTCCAAGAGTCCGGGAACTGGATGACATGCGGGGAATAAGGGTCCTGCGCGCATCTTGCAGCAAGCATTCAACTGCTCAGGGAGGGCTCAAGACTGAAGTGTCCGCAGGGCCGTCGACATGCGTGAATGTCAGCCTCAAGTAACGTCAGGAGCTGACAGGAACTGATCTGCGACGCTATGTGTGGATGTCCCAGCTGGGAACTGCACGTGGCTGAGTCAGCAAGGGCAAACTCCGGAAAAAAGATTGCCTTTGACATGCCCGCGTAAGCTTTGTCAGCTTTGGCATGTCTTTTGTGGGACGATAACGAAGAGCTTGCTGAGATTTGAACCATGTTGACGTGCTGCTTCGTCCTGGGTTCGTGCAAGAGTGCATATTACAGATCTTCTCTCAGCAGGTCCGAAGCCTCAGTGGCGTGGAATAGCCCGGAACGTACTCGTAGATCCGCATACTCGGATCCTACGGCCAAGAGGAGTCCGGCTGCACGCTCGCCATGCTGGACTTCTCATTTCTCTCGGTCCTCGCCGTTAATATCAAGCGGATCGTTTGAGTAGTCGAGGATCGAAGGCCTCTGAAACTCACAGTTCTGATCCACAAGCTTGCCTTTCAGCAATGCCGAGCACCCAACGGATAAGTTGCAGAGTCTAGCGGCACGCCTGCCTGTCCAACGTTGTCACCTCCCCAGCATCTGGCCTGGCAACAATGCATGCAAGCCGGCTGAACATCCACGCTTCCTCAGAGAAGGCACTAAAGGCAGCTGTAGCACTACTCTTCCTCGACAAATAACCTCACCCGACAACCTCTGGCGGCTCGTTAGCTTGGCCTTCTGGTTGATGTCGAGGACACACGCATGGATGCCGCCGCTGCTCAACATTGTGGCATTCGAAGGCGTCCTGAAATCCAAGCCTCGGGCAAAAACATAGGGCCATAGGGGTGAAAGGGCTCAAACAGGCAGTGCCTCCTGGACCTCCGGGGAGCAGGCGATAAAGATTCACACGGCCCCAACACCACACATCCATGCCCAAGGTTAAGCCGCAGGTGTGGAAGTTACCGGCAGAGATGGAGCTGAAGGTCTCCTGCCACATACGCAAAGCATCTGACCCGCATGCGTAGTCCGGAGACTGAGACAAAACTGGGTGGATGTTCGAAGTCCGACCCCCTCTAAGCAATGGGCGCATGCACATGCTTGTGAAATCTCTACAACGATAGTGGTCTCGTAGTCGCAAGCAGGTACGGCAAAGAGGACCGTTGCAGGTGTGGCTGAAGCACGGGCGCTGAAAAGGGTTTGCTGAACTTCAGACTCCAGGCTTGACGATGGAGATCAGACGGGAGTCGGCGTGTCTGTGGGCTTGTGTCGTGACACATTGACAATAGGTGCAATTGTGTGCAATAGAAGCTTCGTCGTCTTAGCCCCCCAAAACACGCACGTGCCCGCGCGAATTCGAGGGAAATGCTGAAAAAGTCCGAGGCCCCCCGATACGAGTTCACACTTCTTCCGGAATGAATACATCCTAGTTGTCGCCCTCGCAAACTGCTCCTGCACGCCGCTGCGGCCTTGGTCCTGCCGCAGGAGGAAGCAAGGAAGGCTGCAGTCATTCTTGCAGCAGACATTCTTGCACACGGGCCTTCCCTGGAACTTGCAGCTGGAGCTCTGAATCGTCACCCCAGCATATGACGTTGTCCTGTGCACTACGAACGCAAGCACACGCAATTGCAACTTCATTGATCTTACTTGTGACTTGTCCTCTTCTCCGCTTCTTTTCAGCAAAGGTTGGTTGAGAATGATGTTATGGCTGAACAACTTCTTTCGTCCTCTTTTCGACAAGGGTGCCTCAACAAACTCGTCATAACTTTTTGTTGCCCTCACATCTGGCTGGGCCACTCCGTTTATCCTTTGATGGTTCCGCGGTGTCGCTCACTCTTTGCGGGCTCAAGGGCGTAGTATGTGGTGACTTTCCTTTCTTGGAGAAGGGGGATTTCTTACTCAGTAAGGAATTCAGAGTTGCACGCTGTTGGCTGACGACAAGCTATTGAGAAATTGGAAGTGTCAACATCCTCCGGCAGGGCAGGCTTGTGGGGAATTCAAGGAACGAGACAAGGAAGGAAGGCGGGCAGGAAGGAAGGAACGAATTCAACAGATTTTGATTTTTTGCGAATACAAACTTAGTAGGCTCTGAATAAAATGGCGACGCCAATGTGAATAGCATTTCATGGGTTTCCACGGCTTTGTTTAACTCAATGGATGTTTCAATCGTTGCTGAATACACATGTAATGGATTCGATTGGCACTT